GTTTCACTTAGGGCCAGGATATCCAACTTCTTTTCATTCATAACATCAGCATTCATCTGTTTCTTGTCATCCGCACTACATCCATGCACATTCAAGCATCCCAGTTTTATAAAGCTTTTCTTCTCTTTTTTTAGTAAATGTTACAGGAGAAGGGGTTTACTATGAAAAGAGCCCTTTAATTTGGGGCTCAAAAAAAAGGGAAATGTTTGTTTTTTCCGAGGGTTTCAAAAGAAAAACAAATAAAGTCTTTTAAAAAATAATTTTTCCCAAAATCTTTTCTAATATGCGTCATGAAGGGGTTTGGGACATTTTTAAATACAATTGTTAAAATATTGCAGAGTTCCCATAACAGCAAATCTTTTTTTTTTGTTTGGAATAAAAAAATCAAAATGGGAAAGCAAGATTAAAATCAGGGGGGCCTGAAGACAGGGACTGATAAAACAAAAAAATTTTGTTATTTTGGGAGCCAGAAATATCTGCATCTTTTCATTCTGGCCCCTTTTTTTGGGAAATTTGGGGCAAAATTTTTTTAATTTGCATAAAATTTGGGCCAAATTGAAAATTTTCCCGACCACGTTTTTGGGGGGTTTGAAACAGAAAAAATGGGCTTTTTCTTTTACTAAAATCAATAGAAAAAAGGGGAGTTTCAAAAAGAAATAGCTATGATTTTGGTCGACGGGAAAAAATGGAATTACCCAAAAATTTGGGGTTTCCCGGGTTTTGGGAAAATTGCCAATTCAAAATATCGCCGGGGTTTTCGTAACTTTGCGAGAGCGTAATTCCATAAATTTTCCCAAAAAAATTTCTTTTTTTTTGGGTTTGTCTTTAAACCCATCAGGAAAAAGATTCTTTTTTCTTTTTCATTAAAATTTATATATATATATATCGGGAAGGGCCCCCGCTTTACGCGTTTCACTTTACGGCGTTCCGCTAATACGGACATTTCAAATTATGACCAAAACTCGCTATACGGCTCCCCCCACTGACTTTCTAATACGGTCACCGTGCCCCACCCTGTTTGTTTACATTCTCCATGAGCTCAGTAAGCACTAAGTCTCTCCATTTTGTCTGGAAACTCCAAAATTTCAAATGTTTTTAAAAGTTATTTCATATTTTATATATACTCTGATAATCATACTTATGTATACCTGTACCTAAATAAACTTACATACTGTGCTGGCATGCAGGTACACATTAAAATTGGTAAGTGTCTTATGTCTCCAGACGTCATATTAGTAATGATAATAATAATCATCGAGTCATTTAAATGTCGTATATTATGTTAATATACACATTTTCATTAACCCTTTGAGGGTTTTCGTCGTACTAGTACGTCTTACGCGTAGGGGTTTTTGACGTACTAGTACTCATAAATTCTAGCGACCTCAAATCTAGTGGGAGAAAGCTGGTAGGCCTTCATATGAAAGAATGGGTCTATGTGGTCAGTGTGCACAGCCTAAAAAAAATCCTGCAGCACACGGTGCATAATGAGAAAAAAAAACTTTTTCCATTTTTTTTTAATAAATCAGCGACTTTGCAGTGTATTTTCGTATAGTATTTATTGTTGTATTCTAGTTTTCTTGGTCTCATTTTATAGAATGGAAGACATATTACTGAAATTGAGATGATTTTGACTGGTTTTACAATGAAAGGTGCCTTGAAATTGAGCTCAAAGTAGCAGAAATGTTCGATTTTTACCAAACTTCAAAAGTAAACAAATCGTGCCAAGCGTGCAATACACGTCAACTGGTGAGTCTAATATTCTTTCACAAGTGCACCAATAATATTTATACCATTTTTTACACTAATGCAGTAGTCTGCATAACAGTAAATCTTATATTTTTTGTGAGAATAAAAATTCAAAGTGGAAAGCAAAAGAATATAAGAGGGGCCTTGAGACGTGACTAATGACTAGAGGAAATGTCATTTTAGTGCCAGGAATGTCTTTCTTGTTTATTCTGGACCCTATTCCGAAATTGGCATCTTTTGAAATTTGTGTGAAATTGGCAAAATTGCTAAATTCTGACCACTGTACTGGATAGTTGAATTTATAAATGGGTGGTTTCTTGCACCCATTCGATAGAAAAAATGGAGTTCTAGCGAAATATTCATGTTTTTTGTCGACTAGTACAGTGAAATTGGCCGAAAATGGGGCTCAAAGTGGGCAAAATCGCCGATCCGTAAACATCGCCGAGACCGCTAATTTTGCGAGAGCATAATTCCGTAAGTTTTCTATCAAATTTCAAACTTTTGGTGTCGTTATGATCGGGAACAGATTCTCTATCTTTTCATAAGAGAAAATAATTTTTTTTTTTTTTAAATTTGGCCGACCCTGAGAACGAGTTTCGGAGAGGGCCTGTCGACCCTCAAAGGGTTAATCCATCCATGATATTTTTTTCAAAATTATATAATAAACACGATGCATAACATATAAATAAGATAAATACACCCCACAGTAGAATAAATAAACATAAATGTGAGATGTGGTAGCAGACGACTTGCACAAGTGACGCCATATTAGAAATGATAATAATAACAATACTCACCGAGTCTCATTAAATGTCGTATATTACGGTAATATACACATTTTCATTAATCCATCCATGATATTTTTTTCAAAATTATATAATAAACACAATGCATAACATATAAATAAGATAAATACACCCCACAGTAGAATAAATAAACATAAATGTGAGATGTGGTAGCAGACGACTTGCACAAGTGACGCCATATTAGAAATGATAATAACAATACTCACCGAGTCTCATTAAATGTCGTATATTACGTTAATATACACATTTTCATTAATCCATCCATGATATTTTTTTTTAAATTATATAATAAACACGATACATAACATAAAAAGATGATAAATACGCCCCACAATAGAATAAATAAACATAAATATAAGATGTGGGAGCCACATAACTTGTACAAGTGACGGCAAGAATAACATTTTCTCTAATCTAACATAAGAGAAAATGTGTTACTGGGGGTAACTGTAGAAAATTATTCCTTTCGTATGTATGTAAGTTTATTCAGGTATACACAAATACAGTTACATAGATTATCATACATAACAACATACGTGTAGAGAACCTAGGATAACCCAAAAAAGTCAGTGTGACTTATTTCCATTGCCTTCACTCAGAGCTTCATTTCTTCTCAAAATGATGTTACATGAGAATGGGAAGTGTTCTTCTTTATTAATTCTACCATATCAATGTAGAGACAACCTGTACACAATGTAACTTGTACACAAACCAGACGTGTACACTTCGTTTGTTTACAAAACTTACCTTCGCCTGGTTTGTTTACATAACTCTGCGCCTGCCCCCTCTCATGTACTCATTCTTTCTCTCTCTCATTTATTTGTTTTATCTCATTTACTTACTCCTGACCCTACATTAAAGACTACAAATATTTTAAGGTAAGTAATGAGTGAACTGTATATACATTTTATCGCTCTGGGATGCTTAAATATCATAGAATAGTATGTGTGGGTGGGGTGGCCTGGTAAGGTAGCCTGGCTATTACCATACGTACCACACTTGATTTCTTACAATAAATACTACTTGTCTCACCCTAGATTAAGACTATAAATATTTTAAGGTAAGTAATGAGTGCACTATGTGTGTATTGTACTTTTTTATTGTTTTTTGATGCCTGGTTCTATTGCTAACTTAATATATGTTAGTGTAAACTTGTTATCTAGTGTTTGTATGCATTTATAAGTGGAAAAAAAGGGTGTTCCACTTTACGGCGATTTCCGCTTTACGGCGGTAGCCTGGAACCTAACCTGCCGTATAAGTGGGGCCCTCCTGTATATATTTTTTTTTTTTTTCCAAATTTTTTGACACTAAAAGACACCTCAGGATTTGGGGTTTTGACAGTCAAGGGGTTAAAGGCTACCCATTTTCATTTACCCCTGGCACCCCAGATTTACCTACTACTCCCTCCACAACATTTTTACTAACTTTAGCATTAAGATCACCATCTACAAGTACTCTCTCACTTGGTTCAAAACTCCCCACACACTCACTCAACATTTCTCAAAATCTCTCAGGCTTTTATATGTACTTATTTAAAAGGCTGTTTCACTTCAAAGCGATTTTCGCTTTACAGTGGTAGCACGGAACCTAACCTGCTGTATGAATGGAGCCCAGCTGTACTATATTCAGAAACAAGCAATAAGCCTGAATGAATCATACAGCTTAGCAGAAAAGTACTGGGCGCTTCTCTGTGAGACGACAGTACTTACCTAAGTCTCGTGTTCCTTCCGGGGGGGGGGAATACTTGCGTAAAATATTGAGCCAAGCAATTGGAGCTACCCTTCAGTTCCTTGGATCAAACGTGATTATTGTATCTACAGTTTTCAAGGTATATGAGAATGGTGTGAGAAAATGCAACTGAAAGTACCATTTACCATTCGGTAGAAACTCAAGTAAGCTGAACAAAAATAAGATGGGACAAAACTCAAAGTCACAACTGAAGGTTACAGTTTGACATAGCACTTTACAGAACATATGGATTTGTTTTTAGTTATATTATTATTCTGATGACAGCCTTTAACTTAGAGATTCTTAGTAAACTTTGCAGTTTGGAGGGGCATCTGAACTGTAGTATTGACAGGCCTCTGGCAAGACAGTGATGGAGGGAATGATTGTGAAAGTTTTTCTTTTTTGGACCACCCTACCAGTGTGTTTGAATGCAGTGTGTGTGGGGATTGGGGGGGGGGGGTGCTAAACCAATAGGGGCCGTGAAGAGACAAGTTTGATTAAAGTGGATATTAACTCCAATTTCTTGGATCAAGAGCCCTTCACTAGCATCAAGGGATCCCCTCTCTTGAATCCCTTGAAGGGACAGCAACTGATGTTGGTTTGGGAGAAGCTCTTCAAACTTTTCGATTGAAAACTAATCCATTGTTCATCATTGTTCTCATCTGGGTTATGATTTCTTGTGAGTAAAATAATGATTGTCATTGTTTTCTTTTATAGACTGGAGCATGATGGTATAACTAAAGACCGCCGGACCCGAGTGGAATCCATGCTGGGCCATGTTGAAGAATCAGATATAGTTTATCGTGTAGCCAGTCAGCTAGGCCTCAAAAGTACTATAGATAAGTGCCTGGCTTCTCCATGTGCACCATTCCTTAAAGATACTATTTTTGTAAAGGGATGTACTTCAGGTGATTGAACAAAATGCCAAATTAAATAGGTTTCCTGTTCACCTTAGCAATGAAAATATAGGGAAGATCCAAACACAGAAGTGTAGTAAACACTGGTCATTAATAAAAATAATGATCAGTGCTACAAAACTGTAAATATGGAGACATAAGAGCAACTGCAATAAGTTTGTAATGCAAGCATAGTCAGCCCAAGAATTTTCCCTTTTAAACATAAAATTTTTATGTATATACGTACTGGCATCCTCCCAGCTAATAACATGGTTATAATTCTTAATATGCTGGAAATGTGCTGAATTGGTGTGTGTGTTTTTTGACAGAGCTCTTATATAAACTATATTGTTACTCAAGTTATTCTTTACATTAGCTCTCTGCCATTGTATACTGTATAAGTTAGTACTACTATTTCACACAAGTCTACTAAAGAGGGTCTTAGGTGAAAATATTTAGTACTCATTTCAACTACTGTTTTATTTTCTCTATGTGGGTTTGCTTGTGTATTAGAAATGATAATTATAACAACACAGTATATATATATATTTCTTACACAATATAAAAAATATATATTTTCTGCATGACACATTTTCCATGATAGTACAATTAGTTGCAAAATGTGTTATATTCCTCATCTTTCAAGAATAACTAGTTTGTGATTGTACACTTAATTAAATTATGGTACTGTAGGTCCTGACTAACTATTATGGTAAATAGAGCTTTCTGAACCCTTTAATGAAACTGACCTTATAAGATTGTTACCTAAGTTTGGTACCATACCTAGTATTTGGTGATTTTCATAATCAAGTGCTGAACATTCCTCTAATATTTATAAACATTATGGATACTGTGCAATAATTAAAATTGTCTTTTACCATATGAGGTCCAGTGACCTCAGAAAAAACACCATTTTGGATATAATACAGCCTCTAACTGCTATAAGTGGTTACCTGTCTTACAGTGTTGCTTCCAATACCAAACCATCATTATTCATAATTGTCACAAAGTAACCTTATGGCTCCCACCAACAGAACCTACCTTGAGTTACAAGCTTTGATTTATATACCCTTCAAGGAGGGGTGTCTTAATACCCGTGAAGAGCTCTTGATCCAAGGAAGCAGCCCTTCCCCCTCCTTGAATTGAATCTTAATGCCCCACATCCCTCCAGGTGCTGTATGACCTCTGTTTTTCACACTTGCCCCTGATTACAATAAAAAAGGAATATCTCTCCAGTATTTTCCTTATGTAAATTATATAGTATCTTCTTCACCAGTGTTCCAGTAGTATGAGAGACTATAATTGTTACCAATAATTTAGGTGTTGGAATGACTGTGAAAGTTCTCTGAACATTCCAAATTTGTAGTTTCTCTTGGCTGTTTAACAGATTTTTTGTACAGCTTCTTTTTGGCCCTCAGGGCTTGGTTGCAGTCTCCTTTGTACCTCTAAGCCTGGGTTTATGTTTTCACTGAATGACTTACACAAGTATAGAATTGGTGGTGATAATATCACTAGATGCTCGTTAACACTACTCACAGGATTTACCAGTAGTATTTGCCTTGCTCAGTTCACTGTTCTAGTAAAACATTATCTTGTTGACTATCTTAATCCTTTAAACATACCAAGTTTATTGCTTATCTTTAAAGAGAATCTTACACAAATCCTTGCATCAAGCAAATACATAAATCAAAGTTCATAGCCAAAAGGTTATACGTACTGTATATGTTTTATGAGCTTGCCTAGTAGTAATTATGTTGGATGAACTTGCCTGGTGGTAATTATGTTGTGACTAGTTTGCTTAGTGGTGATTATGAATAATGATGGTTTGCCAGTGGTTGTGACCCTGTCAGGCAATGTAACTGCTGGTTGAGTGGCAAGAATTACTGTTAGCATTTAAACTGTATTGGGTGAGCAGAAAGTTAAGCTACCCTGAGGAGGTACAGTGCAGCTAGAAAAGTCCTTTTCTTTAGTCAAAGGTTAAATATTACTGAGGCTGTGAAACATGAATAATTACAAGTGCCTTTATATGCTTGGCAATTTTTTACATTTTTAGGGGTTTAAATGACATAAAGGTTCAATTGCATTGAATACTTAGTTTCAAACTTGAGGGTGAAATTTATGTATACAGCTGGACTTGATTCCTGGAGATGGTTAGTACAGTGCCAGCACTCTGAAGGAGGGGTGTTAATGTTGCAGTTTTATAACTGTAGTGAAAGCATACCTCTGGCAAGACAGTGATGCCTTGGTGGGAAATGGCCAATGTGTTAAAAATAAAAAAAAGTTTAGTTATGTAATTGACTAACAAACCAGCACTGTAATTATATTATTGGAATTAACAATAACACGTGATGCAGTACATGGCAGTAAATTAAAAAAAAAAATGATATACACACACATATGATAATTTACAAAATTTGGTGTACTACAGTATTAGAGTTTACAAGAACCTAATATAAGTTATTGTATTTAAGGAAAGTTTGTGCTAAGTGATCCGACTATAAAAATATAATTTTTATACTGATTTATATTTTGCTTAATATGGAGAATACTGCTTAGCTGAATTTGGTAATAATTTAGAGCTTTAATAAAGTGTATAATGATAAGTGGATTTTGCGGTAGTGTTTTTTGTGGAAATTGTCCAAAAAAATGTGTGCAAATTTTTATTTTAGGAGGTAGCCACCTAAATGCTTTTGTAATTATTATTATAATAAAAAAGAAGCACTAAGCCACAAGGGCTATACAGCAATGCTTTTATAAATGGAAAGATATATACATATAGTAAAATGTGAGCCATATCCCACCAGCAGCATTCCAGTATTGTAAGCAAAACAATATGCCACTGCACAATCATTCACTTCTTAGCAATACCATGTGGGATTTGGACAGTAGATGGGATTTTTTAGTTAATAGGTATGTTTAGGTTACCCAGTGTAACCTAACCAAATCTGACCCTAACATAACTTTGAATTTTTTTTAACACTAAAAAGAAACGCTGCCACCATTATTTACTCTATTGCTGTCTTGCCAGAGGAACACTGATACTACAGTTCAGATGCCTCTCCAAACTGCAAATATCCCCACCTGTCCTTCAGAATGCAGGCACTATACTTTCCACCTCCAGTTGGTGAGGGGCTCTTGATTTAGGGAATTGGAACTGTGCTCCAGTTCCCCGAATTAAGCCTGAATGCCTTCCACATCCCCCCCCCGGGCGCTGTATAATCCTACGGGTTTAGCGCTTCCCCTTTGATTATAATAATAATTTCCACCTCCAGGACTCGAGTCCAGCTGGCCAGTTTCCCTGAATCCCTTCACAAAATGTTACCTATCTCTCACACTAACAGCTCGTCAGTTCCCCGAAACCATTTCCCTCCACCCCTATCTAGCATGCTCAAACATTCCTGCTGGATGTTCAAGCCAATTGCACACAAAACCTCCTTTACCCCCTCCCTCCATCCTTTCCTAGGGTGACCCCTATCCCTCAAAATAAAACTACATTGCAAAATACACTTGATATTGTATGAATTAAAATATAAATTATCACCAAACAGCTCAGCAGTTGTTCTCCATACTGACTTGTATTTTCTATATTTGTACTTACAAAATAAAAAATCTTAAAAATTGACTGTCTTTGTGTATCATACTCATTATTGTGGTGTAGCAATCTTTAGTTGCCAAGGCAACTACATGCTGTACCTGTACAGAAGGCTCTCAACTTATGAACAATATGCATTCCTGAAAATCGTTCAGTACTCATATTGAGAGTATGACACATGTGCAACATCTGGGTATCTTTATTGTAGACGTTTCGCCATCCAGTGGCTTTATCAATACAAATTCCAGGACATAACTTGAAGACAGTAGAACTATGTACAGAAGATGAGGTAATCAGTCCCTCAACCTAGGAGTAGGTGCGAACAGCACCATAGTCGTGGAGATTCTGAAGCAGAAGAAAGAATCCTGGCGCTTATATAGTAACGTCAGGTGAAGCAGACGAGGGCAAATTCACTGGTGGGGGGGATTCCCCAGTGGAAGTAGGTCCTTCCCAAAGAGATGGGTTAGTTGTAGTAGTAGTCGTAGTTGTGAAGGTTATGTACATGTCCTCAGAATTAAGATTCCATGATGTTGCAGTGTCTGACAAGTTGTGTACGAAAGGTATATAATACCGACAAGATGAGAGTAAGACACATGTGCAACATCTGGGTATCTTTATTGTAGACGTTTCGCCATCCAGTGGCTTTATCAATACAAATTCCAGGACATAACTTGAAGACAGTAGAACTATGTACAGAAGATGAGGTAATCAGTCCCTCAACCTAGGAGTAGGTGCGAACAGCACCATATATAAGCGCCAGGATTCTTTCTTCTGCTTCAGAATCTCCACGACTATGGTGCTGTTCGCACCTACTCCTAGGTTGAGGGACTGATTACCTCATCTTCTGTACATAGTTCTACTGTCTTCAAGTTATGTCCTGGAATTTGTATTGATAAAGCCACTGGATGGCGAAACGTCTACAATAAAGATACCCAGATGTTGCACATGTGTCATACTCTCATCTTGTCGGTATTATATACCTTTCGTACACAACTTGTCAGACACTGCAACATCATGGAATCTTAATTCTGAGGACATGTACATAACCTTCACAACTACGACTACTACTACAACTAACCCATCTCTTTGGGAAGGACCTACTTCCACTGGGGAATCCCGCCCACCAGTGAATTTGCCCTCGTCTGCTTCACCTGACGTTACTATATAAGCGCCAGGATTCTTTCTTCTGCTTCAGAATCTCCACGACTATGGTGCTGTTCGCACCTACTCCTAGGGTTGAGGGACTGATTACCTCATCTTCTGTACATAGTTCTACTGTCTTCAAGTTATGTTTCCCGGAATTTGTATTGATAAAGCCACTGATGGCGAAACGTCTACAATAAAGATACCCAGATGTTGCACATGTGTCTTACTCTCATCTTGTCGGTATATATATACCTTTCGTACACAACTTGTCAGACACTGCAACATCATGGAATCTTAATTCTGAGGACATGTACATAACCTTTACAACTACGACTACTACTACAACTAACCCATCTCTTTGGGAAGGACCTACTTCCACTGGGGAATCCCGCCCACCAGTGAATTTGCCCTCGTCTGCTTCACCTGACGTTACTATATAAGCGCCAGGATTCTTTCTTCTGCTTCAGAATCTCCACGACTATGGTGCTGTTCGCACCTACTCCTAGGTTGAGGGACTGATTACCTCATCTTCTGTACATAGTTCTACTGTCTTCAAGTTATGTCCTGGAATTTGTATTGATAAAGCCACTGGATGGCGAAACGTCTACAATAAAGATACCCAGATGTTGCACATGTGTCATACTCTCATCTTGTCGGTATTATATACCTTTCGTACACAGTACTCATATTCTTAGAATTTGAAACCCCTTTGAGCACAGACACCAATATTAAATCCGAGATGCATTTCTGAACCATAATACTTCATGTATATTTTCGTTAATTTTATTATTACATGAAATCAAGGAAATGTATGGTACTCAGGTAAGTCTTTCTCTCTTTTCTTCTCACTCTTATATTTCCTCTCCTATTTCTTAACCTCATCTCACTCTCCCATTTCCTCCCTCTCATCCTTTCACCATTTCTTCTGTATCTCACACATGCTCTTCACCCCCTTATTGATGTGGGAGGAATATGGCAAGAGAAGCATAGGCATCAGCATGATTCACCGATTCACTCACTCCCTCCTTCATAAAACAGACAAGCATAGAACTACAATCAAAGATATTTATATAATTTTTCAATATAATTACAAAAGTCAATGCTGACTTAAAATTTAACTACCATATACAATGTAATATCAGAGCCCATGGAGAAGACTAGTTGCTTCTGTTACTGCCTCTTCATCATCTTGAGTCTTCACTGTGTAGTTTGTAGCACGTAGGAAATATTCTTTAGCTTCTTCTTTTTTCCCAAGCATCTGATAACACTTTCCAATCATGAGTAAGTTCTTACTGCAAAATTTAAAAAAGAAAATTAAGTATAACATCATGGTGGATTTTACAGCTTAAAAATACATCCATACATTTTTTTAACATGTCGGCCATTTCCCACTGAGGCAGGGTAACCCAAAAAGAAAAACACTTTCATCATTCAACACTTTCACCATCACTCATAAATATTCACTGTCTTTGCAGAGGTGCTCAGGTACGACAGTTCAGATGTCCCTCCGAACTGACAATATCCCAAACCTCTCCTTTAAAGTGCAGGCATTGTACTTCCCATTTCCAGGACTCTAAGTCCAGCTAGCCAGTGTCCTTGAATCCCTTCACAAAATATTACCCTACTCACTCCAACAGCTCGTCAAGTCCGGCTAGCCAGTGTCCCTGAATCCTTTCACAAAATATTACCCTACTCACACTCCAACAGCTCGTCAGGTCCCAAAAACCATTCATCTCCATTCACTCATACATATAGGAGTTATTAGGATGGTTCAGGATACTCACCCTTCAAGGGAAAATGCCTTGATGCTGGCAAATGGGCTCATGATATACGAATCTAGAGCAAACCTTTAATATCCAATTGTGATTAATCATGAAAAGGAATGTATGAGTAAATCTATTAATAAGTTCAAGAGTTTAAATTTGGAGGGCTAATACAGGGATTAAATTTTTTTCAGACCATTCACCCCTTTCCAAACCACGAATGAGTTTACACACTACTCATCACAACTGTCAATGTGTTTACAAATGCATGCATCCATTACCTTCATGATCCACTAGTATACTAACCTATTTAAAATGAAAACATTCTCACTTAAGATAAATACATCAAATATATTTGAAATCTCATAAAAAAGTATATTCAGGGCAGAGAAGACATCAGAGCTAGAACAGATACAAAGATCATTTACAGCCCACACTGAGCCAATAAAGCATTTAAATTATGATGTAGTATCCAGTAAGACCTCACATAACACAGCAGTTATGTTCCTGAAACCAGCACTTCATGTAAAATCTCACTATGTAATATACAATATAATACATGTGAAAAGAGGAATAGATACACAGCACCTCCAAAAAAAGCCTACAGTGAGAAAGGAAGATTTCCATGCAAGATCCAGTCTGATTTCAAATATTTCCCCAACTTTACAGTGTGGAGAGGAATTTTCCGAGTGAAAACCAACCCTAATTCAATTTTTTCCTACTTCAGCCATGTTAAACACAGGCTGGAGCTACATTTTAATAATTATGGGATGTACTGTATACTATATACAGCGATTATGTATGAGTGATGATGAAAGTGTTGAATTATGAAAGTTTTTTCTTTCTTTTGGGTTTTTCTTTTTTTGGGGGGTCACCATGCCTCGGTGGGAAATGGTCGACGTGTTAAATAAATAAATAAATATATATGATCAGCATTTTAATAAAAATGCACTACCAAAATATCTGTTATGAGAGGCCTGGCTGTACATGAAACGTACTTGAGGACCTAGCCCCAAATATGCACGCTGTCATAACATAATGGACAAAGATATATGAGAGGAAGTGTAAAATAAACCCAGCATAAAGTAGGGGTATCATGGGCACAATAGAACATTGTATCAATATCTGTGGTCCTCAGACTATTCAACATCTTATCTGAAAATATCAGAAACACTGCAGGGATAAGTGTAAAAGTCTTCAAAAGGAAATCAAGCAAGTAATTCCACCAAGTGCCAGATCAACAAGGCTGTGATGGATATGTGGGTCAGCAAGAGCCTGGTTGACCAGGCATGCACCAGACAAGCCTGGCCCAGGGCCAGGCAAAAGGAGTAGAAAAACTCAAATCTCATCAAAGGTACTGTATATCAATACAAATTTCTCCATTATTGCACACCAATGGAGGTAAGTGTACTACAGTTGGAGAACTACTGGGCTAATGTACTGTATTAGTGTAAGCAGTAGTTATGCTTGAGATTCACCTGTAAAAATTGGGTTCCACTTGCTCTGCATGAAGAAACTGCTCCAGTGCCTCTTCATAAGTGCCTGCTGGAGGTGTAGTAAACACTACTGAAGCAATCTTTCGCTGATACCATGGAATACCAGCAACACTATAGTACCTGCAAATAAGAGAGCAAAACAAATTTGCAAATTACATTATATCTACTAGTAGTTCCACATTTCATACACATCATGACTATTAAGAGCAAGTAAAACAGCACTTACCAGTATCCAAGTAAGTACCAAGATGTCCCATCTGTTGGATTCAACTCGCAAGCTTTCTGTGAATATATCACATACATATATATATATATATACTTTTGACACAGCACATGACACTGAACACAATTCATCTATATGATTTGCATAAGATACTCAGAATACCAATCTGTGGAAATTTTGTATTACTCAGGAAATAACCACAAATATGTATGTACAGTACCATCATATGATTCTTCACATTGTAAGACTGGGATATTCTGGCCTTTGTTCCTTCATATCCATACACATAGTCAAGTAGAATGGACATCCACTTGTGCACTGCAAAATTCTCCTGATTGAGTGTCAAAGCTTCTTCTACATAGTCCAAAGCCTCGCGATAAAGCACTTTCTTCTCATTATCTGTTTTGGCAGCTTTTGCTTTTTCATATGTTGCACGACCCAGTCTCCAAAGAATCTCATCATTTTTTATACCCTGGTGAATAGATGGTGAAGTGTAAGAAGAGTAGAATTAGTTATAGTCAAGTACTGTATAGTTATACATAATTCATACTATACAGTAAGACCTTGATTTTAATGGACTAACAGAGGGAAGAGGGTGTCCAGTAAGGCTGTCAAATCCAAATAGATTTTTCTTCCATGACTGCAACAATAATGGACAGTTCTAGAAACCAATGATTTTTGTCTCTTCTTTCTGAAATTAATTTACCCAGCAAATCATAATAATGGGCAATTCTGAAAAAAAAAAACAGACTCCGTTGTCCCAATTTTGTGCATTACAGCAGGAATTTGTTAAATCAAGGGACATTAAATCAAGGTTTTATTTACATATCAATAACTCCAAAACTAATATTATTATTATTTCATAAAAAAATATGGTACATTTGTTAAGATCTTTGAGGAAAAGCAATTAACCCTTAAGCTGTCCAAACGTAGATATACATTCACCTGCGTAGCGGTCTGAATATTTTGAAAAATAAACAAATCTTTTCTTTTTTTTAAATGTAGTGCATTTTTATAAATGTTATAGGATTAAAAAAAAAAATTTAGGGCCAGTACTTACTGAGATATAAGCCCGTGAAGTTGGTGCTAAATGATGAGGTGTCAGCAACATGGAGCACTGCTGCTTGGAAAAGTAATAAACATTTATCATTCTTTTCTGTTTTTTGTTGTTTTCATGTTATGATAATAATGTTTGCTTACAGATCTTTTGATTTCATGGCCAATTCTTGCTGAGACACAAATGTTTGGTACTGAATTAGTAATCATACTGTCACAAATACACATGTTCACACTGATAAATGAATTTGTACACCAGGTTCAATTACATACTATTGTTTACATATACATGTATATACAACATATTTACAGGTCTCATTTATGTTTCTAGAAGTCCACCACTGTATTATACTCGAAGAAGCACAGATTCATAGTGCCACCCCACATTGCTCACACATGTATCGTGTGATTTTTTTGCACTCGGGTCAATGTGTAGTGTAAGCACACACAACACACTTTTTCTGAGAATACTTCTTTGGAGTAGATGGTAATGGTATCAGGCAGTGATAGCCAGGAATTATACAGTTGGGCACTTCGCCCTCTGGTTGTGGGGTGACAGGTCACTATTGTGGGGTGACAGGTCGTTGTGGAGTGGCAGGTATAGGTGTGGTACCATACTTTTTTGATAACTGCTTGATGACACTGAGGGTGAATTCAGCATATCGTTGTCGCTTCCCAGTCTTTACTTCATACATGATTAAGGCACTGAGCACTGCGTTGTCTACAAGGTTGAAAAACACTTTCATATACCACTTGCAACTCCTATGCACAAAGTCAACAAACCCCATCATCATGTCACACTTGTCGACTAGTCGCATATTGTTCGTATAGTCTATGACAGCAGCTGGCTATACAATAGGTTCACTGTTGAACCTGCTCAGTCTGTCTGTTTGTACCATCTCGTCTGTGTGGACAGTTGACAGCAATGTCATGTCCTGTTTGTCATGCCACATCAGTGCCATCATGTCATTGGCATGAAACGATTCCACTAGACTTGCTCCAGTGAACTTTGGCATGTGTTTTCTACTTCTCACTGTTCCACATATATCAGTATTGTTCACACAGGAAATCAGCGAGCATAGGGCTTGTATACCAGTTGTCTGTGAACAATGTATGACCCTTACCAAGGTATGGCCCCATCATCCTACGAACAACATCCCCAGAAATGCCCAACATGCGATTGGTATTGTCAAGTGTCTTTTTCCCCGTGTAGATAATGACATCCAACACAATACCAGTCTCACAGTCACACACAACAGAGAGTTTTATACCAAAACGATTACGTTTGCTTGGTATACATTGTTTGAATGACAGTCGTCCCTTGAACAGTATCAATGAATCATTAATAACAATGTTCTTGAATACATAAACAGTTCCTGGATTTTGTATAGGAGGTCATTTTGGTTTGGAGTTTTCCTGTCTGCAAAGTGCAACATTCGTAGCAACAGAGTGACTGTTGCAGGGAAGGAGGTCACGGAAGACTGGAGTACTGATGAAGTGGTCTGTGGACCAGTAATTTGTTATACTGTTCTTATATGTGTGTGGTATAAGCATGAGAGTCCCAAGGAATAAATACATTTCAGCCACAGTTGTATCTTTCCACATGCGTAGCCGTGACGATTCTGAAAAATCTGTGTGGTCCATTGTATACTGGTAGTACATGTTGGTTTGGGTAACACTCGGGTTCATTATTGGCTCATCAAGGTATAGTTGAAAATAGTCTAACTCTGTAGACTCATTTGTGATGGGACAAAATGAAAGGATGTGGCACAAATGGTGTACTTGCTGTCCAGTTCCATTCGCGGTCCAATGGTGCAGGGTGGACCTGTGGCATGGGGCATGGGGGAGCAGGAGGAGGGACAGGAGCGGAGGAGGGACAGGAGCGGAGGCAGCACATGGTTGAGAGGGTGCCGGGCAGTCCTTTGTCTGCCCACCCACCGAGCCACGAGGTCCAGGCACCATGCCACCTCCCTCTTCCTCCATCCCAGCATACTCTCCTTCATGATCACTATCACTATCAGTGGCTGGGGTTTTGGATCGTGACCTCCCACGACCCTTGCCACCGACTACATATGGCACACTGCCTGAACGTGGGTTACAACGCCTAAAAGTACATTTCACTGGGGAAAAATGATAATCACTTTCACTCAATGAATCGTCTATAGGCATAAAATCGATTTCACTATCGTCACTTATACCACTTTCACTATTGTCAGCAGCATAACGCTTGGAAAATGATAATTTCCTCTTGTGGAGTTGCCTCTGGGTAGTAACACTAGCAACCCCAGAGGTGCTGGGCTGAAGGTCTGTTGTGGCCACATTGGCCACCTTGGAAGTGTTGGGCTGAGGGTCTGGTATGGCAACACTGCCCACACTGGCCACCCCAGAAGTGCTGGGCTGAGGGTCTGTTATGGCCACACTGTCCACCCCAGAGGTTATGGGCTGAGGGTCATCTGGGTTGTCATCAACAGTTTCACTAATTCCTTGATCATTAGTGGCCATATCACTGTAAAATCCACTAAACTCGCATTCTGTTTCATTGTCCGAAAATAGTAGAGTGCTAATACGACGAGGTGTGAGTGAATCACGAGGGTTTGCCATGATGTTGACCCAAGATGGAGCTGAAACTAACCGGTCCTACCATGCAGTACCGCGGCATCTCCGATTTTTTTCATACTACGCACAATGAGTGCTCAGACCCATTCTCTCATGTCTAGGTGACTCAGGCCTATTGCACCAAACTTGAAGTAATGAAAAATAAAATGTTGATATACGTTTGGAGCGCTGCGCACATGCACGTATATCTACGTGTGGACAGTTTAAGGGTTAAATGAGGGTATTTTTGTATGAAGCCCAGAGTACTGTATACACAGTACTTCATGCAATTTATGCATAAAAATAAAAATAATTTACCTTGTAAGAATGAAGGAGGGTGTAGATATCTTCATACTGCATCAGTTCATAAAGTCTGTCAGCTTCATCCACCAATGTTTCTAGAGATGGCACTTTAGCTACGACACTTAGATAATCGCTTGCAAGATGTCCAACCAGAAGACCACTAGTTAATGTTAACACTCTGGGCTAACACACAAAGGAGCAATTATTATCATAAATCCAACCACAAAACTACTTGTTAACCTTAATACAGCACTTGCCTAACTTATGAACAAGTGCTATAACATATACCACAACTATTTCTTAAAGCAACAAAAACTAGAAAGCAATTATTCTCAGTCATACACCATCTTAGGTAAGATAACTACATTATCTTTGTATATTGTATAAAGAAATAAACCCGTAATTGTTTTACACGATGGTACGATTGCTGGTGTCTTTTTTGGGTCTCATAAACACACGGGATAACAGGTATATCTTGCTACTTCTAGATACACTTAGATCACACTACACATAGGAGAGTACAATTAGGTTAGTGTACACACACCTAGCTCCTGGAGGGGCCAGGAGCTAGGACTCTGACCCCTACAACCTCAACTAGGTGAGTACACACACACACACACACACACACTGTGTACGTTAGACCCATATTGGAATATGCAGCCAGTTTGGAACCCTCACCTAGCCAATCATATAAAGAAACTAGAGAAAGTGTAAAGGTTTGCAACAAGACTAGTCCTGGAGCTAAGAGGTATGTCCTACAAGGAGAGGTTAAGGGAAATTGACCTGACGACACTGGAAGACACGAGAATTAGGGGGGATATTTACTTATTTATTTATTTATTTAGTAATTTGAGCATACATACAGAGGTACAAAAAAATACAGGTAAGAGCAGCATGCCAAAGCCACTTGTATGCATAGCATTACGGGCTGGCTTAAAATTAACTTAAGATTAACTAAGCAATGATGTAATCAGTCATAAAGCATTATTGTAAACAGATAACAATAAAGCACAAGTGAGTATTACAAAGACAGGTCATATGGTTGCATGCATTGCTGTACATTCAGTCGAATGGAGTATTCTGTTAGGTAGTGTATTTAAAAAACAACAAAGTTAGATTGGGTCTTAGGTTTAACATTTATGTGATATAATTGTGAGAAACATTTAAGATATACAATTTATAAGGTTCAGTTATTCAGTATTTATTTGGTTTTGGGTGAGTAAGTGATCTTTGAGAAGAGACTTGAATTTATAAACAGGTAGTGTTTCTTTTATATTTACAGGTAATGAATTCCAGATTTTAGGGCCTTTTATGTGCATTGAGTTTTTGTATAGCGTGAGATGGACACGAGGAACATCAAAGAGTGATCTGTGCCTTGTGTTATGGTCATGTGTTCTGTTGAGGTTGGCAAGGAGATGTTTGAGGGGAGGGTTAATATCAGAGTTAAGTGTTCTATGTATGTAATAGGTGCAGTAATAAGTATGGATGTTTTGTATGGTGAGTAGGTTTAGTGTTTTGAATATTGGTGGAGTGTGCTGCGTGTAGTGGGAATTTGTTATCATTCTGGCTGCAGCCTTTTGTTGGGTAATTAGTGGTCTGAGATGGTTAATTGTTGTTGAGCCCCATGCACAAATTCCATAGGTGAGATAGGGGTAAATAAGAGAGTGATATAGGGCCAGGAGGGCTGACTTTGGAACATAGCACCGTATCTTCGATAGTATGCCTACGGTCTTGGAAATTTTCTTAGAAATTTGTTGTATATGTGTATGAAATTTGAGTCTATTATCAAGGTGGATTCCTAAGAATTTTCCCTCTGTTAGCTTTGTGATAGGTGATCCATTTATCATTATGTTAAGAGGGACATCTGTAGCTCTGTTACCAAACTGAATGAAGTAGGTTTTGTCAATGTTTGGTGTAAGTTTGTTAGTCCTCATCCAGGTAGATATTTTCTGTAATTCGGTATTTACAGTATTGGCTAGCGTGACTGGGCTCAGGTGAGAGAAGACGTACGTAGTGTCATCTGCAAATAGTGTAGGTTTGAGTAATTGCGAAGCATTTGGTAGGTCATTTATGTATAGGAGAAAGAGAAGAGGGCCAAGGACATATCCCTGTGGGACACCAACTGTAATTGGTTGTGCGGAAGAGTTTGCCCCATTTGCATACACATATTGGCTTCTGTTGCTGAGGTATGACTTGAGGTAGTTGAGGGAGTGCCCTCTTATACCATAGTGTGACAATTTTATGTGGAGCAAGTCATGGTCAACTGTATCAAAAGCTTTACGTAAGTCAATGAAGATTCCCAGTGGGACTTCTTTTTTCTCTTTTTTCTCTATTGCAGTGTATATATGTTCTAGCATGTGTAAAATAGCATCATTAGTATTTTTATTAGGCCTGAATCCAAATTGGCAGGGGTTGAGTATGTTTTGGGAGATGAGGTAGGAGTAGATTCATTTATGAATTAATTTTTTGAAGATTTTTGAGAGAGGGTGTAAGTTAGATATTGGCCTATAGTTATTCAACTCTGTTTGGTCTCCTCCTTTATGGATCGGGGCAACCCTTGCTATTTTGAGAACTGTAGGGAAGGTGGAGGATTCAATGGATTTGTTAAAGAGTGTTGCAATGATTGGTGATAGCACTTGTGACACTTTTTTGTATATAAAGGGTGGTAAGGTATTTAAATCTCCTGCCTTGTTTTTTAGTGCGTTGATAATAAGGGAAACTTTGTATGGGTTAGTCGGAGCTAGGAACAGTGTGTTCGGGTAGTTGCCAGTGAGGTAGTCATTTGGTGGGGTATCTGAGCTTGGGATTTTATTGGCAAGGTTTTGTCCTATAGTGGAGAAGAAATCATTGAGTCTGTTTGCTGTTTCTGTTGGTGGGAGTTGGGGTTCATCTGATTTTGCTAATTTTATTTCACTATTTCGTGATATCTTTTTTGTTCCTAGAATTTCTGATAGGGTTTTCCAGGTCTTTTTTATATCACCTCGTAAGTTGGATAATCTGCTCTCATAATACAATTTTTTTGCCCTTCTTATCAGGCTGGTTAGGATTGACGAGTAACGTTTTGTTTGGTCTCTGGTTATGTGACCCATTCTGTACTGTTTTTCATATCTGTGTTTTGTATTTATGGATTTGAGAATGCTGGGTGTTAGCCAGGGACTGTTCAGTCTCTTAGCTGTCATCTGTTTAGTTTTTTTAGGGCAGTGCTTGTTATAGAGGTATTGGGTCTTTTTTAGAAAATTATTAATACATTCGTCAATATCTGTATAGATTTCTAGCGCAGTGTGCCAGTCAATGCTTGTTACTGCTGTTGTAAAGTTATTAATGGCTGCCTCATTGTGAAGTCTGAAGGTGACTTTAGTAGTGTCTTGGGGTAATTTACCGAGAGTTGTTATGAGGAAAGTAGGGTAGTGGTCTGTGGTATTATCTGTAATTATGCCTGATTTTAAAGGGGATATGGTGTTGGTCCAGATGTGGTCAAGTAGGGAAACACTAGTCTCTGTAACTCTTGTAGGTTTTGTTACTGTTGGTAGTAACATACAGTTACTCATTGTGTTTGTGAATTCAGTAACATGTGGGTCCTGGTCTTGCAGGAGATTTATATTGAAGTCACCTGAGAGTAGTAAGTGATCTTTGTTCATGCGTGCATCAGTTATCATACTTCCTAGGTTTTGACTAAATTGGCTAATGTTTGACTGTGGAACTCTGTAGATGTTTATCAATGTGAGAGGTTTTTGTAGGTATTTGGATTTGAATTTAGCTATTATATATTCCCCTTGTTCATCCCTTGTGCAAGTATTAGTGATACATTCTAGTTGGTCTGAGTAGTATATAGCTGTGCCACCCCCTTGTTGGTCTGGCCTACAGTTGTGTATGGCTGTGTAACCAGGAATGGCATAGACATCTGTAGTATCAGGCTTTAGCCAGTTTTCAGTTAGTGTAATGATGGACATATTGGCATGCAAGGAATTTAGTAATGCTATGAGGTTATCATAATAATAATAATAATAATAATAATAATAATAATATCTTTATTTACTACAAGTATGTACATGTACAAGGTATACAGTCCTAGCTGACAACAATGACATACTACTATATAGAAACTCCCTTGTTATGCTCTGCATTTCGGGCAAATTAGGTCAGTGTCCCAGGATGCGACCCACACCAGTCGACTAACACCCAGGTACCCATTTTACTGATGGGGAACATAGACAACAGGTGGAAAGAAACACGTCCAATGTTTCTACTCTGGCTGGGAATCGAACCCAGACCCTCGCCGTGTGAAGCGAGAGCGTTAACCACCAGGCCACCAGGGACAGAGACAGGATGTTCCAGAGATGGGACACATCAGCAAGGAGTCACAGTTGGAAGCTGAAGACTTTGATGAATCACAGGGATGTTAGAAAGTATTTCTCCAGTCACAGAGTAGCCAGGAAGTGGAATAGTTTGGGAAGCGATGTAGTGGAGGCAGGATCCGTACTTAACTTTAAGAAGAGGTATAATAAAGCTCATGGAGCAGGAAGAGTGACCCAGTAGCGGCCAGTGAAGAGGCGGGGCCAGGAGCTGTGACTCGACCCCCGCAACTACAACTAGGTATGTACACACACACACACACACCTGGGTTTTCTATTTTCTTAATAGTTCTTGTTCTTAATTTCCTCTTATCTCTATGGGGAAATGGAAAGCAATTCTGCCTCCATATGCCATGCATGTCATAGGAGGCAACTAAAATGCAAGGAGCAAGAGGCTAGTAGCCCCTTCTCCTATATAAATTACTAAATTTATAAAGGAAAACTTTTGTTTTTCTTTTTAGTCACCTTGCCTTGGTGGGATGCAGCCAGTGTGTTAAAAAATAAATAAAAATTTAAATTTGAAATTTGAAACTGGTTTTAGTAAGTTGATTCACATTAAACAAAACTTTAATTCTACGTCTTAATCTAATGTTTGTAATCTACTTACACTTATGCAGATTAGCTTTAGAATGGAAAATTAATTCTGAATATACCCAACAGACGATCTCCACTATTCTCAACATGCTGACATCAAGAGTTGTTTCTGAATGCTGAGATTCTGTTAACCCTTAAATGTTCCAAACAGATCGACGTTCAAATTCGTAGTGCCCCAAAAGTAGATCTACGTTTTTTTACATATTTTCAAATACAACAAAAAATGTAGACAAAAGT